TATATGAGTACATTATTGTCTCTTTGGACAAAATATTATTACAATACCCTGCATGGAGCAGGAGTCATCGTCATGGGCGACTTTAATCAGTTTGACACTAAACGTCTATGCAGAAATTCATCTCTCAAACAAATTGTTAAGAAACCAACCCGTGAAATAGCGACTTTGGATTTAATACTTACCAATATAAAGCGTTGGTACAAAGATCCAGATATTCTTCCCGCAATTGGTCAATCAGATCATATGTCAATTATATTATATCCACTTGAAAAACCCCGTCGTACCAACACAACTACCAATGTTTGGGTTAGAAAGCGAAATTCATCAAACATGCAGGCTTTTGGTCGCTTCCTCTCTAATCTGGATTGGAGTGTACTTTCCCGATTATCTTCTTGCCAAAGTATGTGTGGTCTGTTCTATGACATCATAATCATGGGCCTGGATACTATTATCCCCCAAAAGCAGTCAGACTCCACCGTAGAGATAAAGCGTGGATTACACCTGAAATAAAATCGCTTATTTCCCAAAGACAAAAAGTACTTAGCTTGGGAAATAAGGCTGAATACAACAAATTAAGGAACAAAGTTATTCGTGTTATCAAACAAGCTAAACTTAAGTTTTATGAGTCACAGGTGAGTCATTTAAAAAACTCAAAGCCAAAGAAATGATGGAGTGCAATAAAAAAATTTAGTTGGCTCTTCTTCAAAACCAGTTTTTAATTCTGCTGAGGTTGATGGAATCATCTTACAAAGAAGAGAATTAGCGTCCGCAGTTAACGATGCATTTATTGCTGCCACCAAATCATTACCTCCGTTATCAGAATATAAAAAAATACATATCGAAGAATCTAGTGTCCCCTACACCATCTCTGACATTACTATTGAATCCCATTTAAAGAAAATCCAATCCAATAAAGCACCTGGTCCAGATGGCATACCAAACTGGATTCTCAATACGTTTTCCATGGAGCTGTCTGAACCTGTGACAATTATATTCAACACCTCTATTAAACAGGCACAGGTCCCAAGGCAGTGGAAAGAGGCGGATGTTATTCCAGTCCCAAAGACAACCCCAGTAACAGATATATTCACAGATCTTCGACCTATATCGCTAACTGCTACACTGTCAAAAATTCTTGAGTCGTTCCAATTTCGAAGGATCATGGATACTATTCATTCGACATTGGATCAAAGACAATTTGGTTCATTAAAAGGATGTTCCACCGTGGATGCGTTAACTAGCATGTTCCATTGTTGGTTTTCAGATACAGATGGCAATGGCGAAACCGTACGTGTTTTTCTATTAGATTTTAGTAAGGCATTTGATAGAATTAACCATCAAATCCTCATAAAAAAGATGCGATTACTCGGCATTGATAATTCTCTAATTAATTGGGTAATTGACTTCCTCATGCAAAGAAGACAGAGGGTGAAATTGGGGTCTGCATGTGTCATCTGATTGGGAATTTGTAAATGGCGGCGTACCGCAGGGTACAATTCTCGGCCCGCTTCTTTTTCTTATAATGGTTAACGACCTAGCCGTCACTCACAACAATCGATGGAAATATGTTGACGATACCAGTCTTTCGGAAACAATCATTAAAGGTAAACAAAGCCATTTACAAACTATTATAGACGATATTGAGAAATGATGTACAGAGAATGATATGGTACTTAACCACGCCAAATGTAAGGAGTTGATTATTTCGTTTGCTAAAGATACACCGAACTTTCGTCCATTGTTTGTTGGGGAACATTGTATTTCCCGGGTTTCGTCACCAAAAATTCTTGGTCTTATTTTCTCGTCTGATCTTCACTGGAACTTGCATATTGAATACATCGTAGCAAAAGCATCAAAGAGACTATACTTTCTCCGAGTACTTAAACGAAGCGGAGTTGGAGTGAATTCTCTAATCCAAGTATTTTCTACATGTATACGGCCTATCCTTGAATACGCATGCCAGGTTTGGAACTACGGTGCTCCAGATTATTTAAAAGGAGAAGTTGAAAGAATTCGGAAACGCGCCTTACGAATAATACATCCCGATCTATCGTATCGGGAAGTTATTTAATGGAATTCAATCACTTAATCAAAGAAGAAATGATATATGTGTGTCATACTTCAAAAAACTTCTTTACTCCACCCACAAGTTGCCCGAACTCGTTCCTGATAGACGTGAGAACTTAGTCAATTATACTCTTCGTAATGATAACCATGTCAATTTAATTGACTGTAAAACTAATAGAGTTCGAAACTCATTTTTACCTTCAAGTATTTTAGCTTATAATGACTCATTATCATAATATTTAGACGTTTTAGCGATTTTTAAAATTTGTTTTGTAGTAACATATAGTATTACGTAGTTATAAAAATTTTCTTGTAGTATTTGTTATTAAGAGTCCTTTTACGAATTATGTAATTAATTCTGTATATTTCAACTTTTAGCTGCTATTAACATTTCATTAAATACATTAAATACTTAAAGAACTGCATGCGCTTGAAAGAGTGATCTAAAATCGACAATAAAGTGTGGATGTTGCTTTATGTAATCGTGTGCATTCCGGCGTGTTGCCAACAGCAAAAAAAAAGAGCAGAAATTAAACATGAGCAGGCCTAGAACCTTTTCTTTCGCTACACATGAAAGATTTAAATAAATGTAATCCTCGAAAAGTTCCTTTTTCAAATAGAGTGAATGCGTAAAAGAGTCGCGACATGGCTCCTCATCACACATTCAAAATGCTTACTTTTAATATAAGTTATTCAAATCCAAACCTTTCTTTACACACACTTTAGCTCCTAGTGGTCCTCCAATGAACATCAAAACCACATCAAGAAGTACATCATCATTGTCTTTCCTCTGGCACCCTCCACAGAAAACTAAACAAAATGGCGTCATTATCAGTTATACAGCCTGTGTTTCACGTTCACAAAATGGTCCTTGCTTTCAGAAATTTGTTACCAGTGAAAGAGAGTGGCTGGTCGGAAATTTAAATACATCGACAAAATATTATGTTCGTGTTCTTGCAAGTACAAAAGTTGGTCATGGACCATACAGTACAAGCAAAGGATATTTTACGAATGGACGTAAGTTCGATATGCATGTTTATATCGAGATTTTGTTTGTGGTTCTGAGGAAAATTCTGTTTCGAAGTTCATATTTTCTATTTAGTTTATTTTATGCATGCTCTGTCATTTTTATTCCCATTTATATCATACCTATCAACCCTTATCAAGTCGTCTTTAGATTTCTGCTAGAAGATACATGCATGCAGAAACCCCTCGCCTTGCTGACAAAACCATTGTATTTTCCGAACATGAAGTATTTAAAGTAGTTATCATGGTAACACGATAATTTTGTAGAATATTTTTACAAATGAAAAATCCCCTAAAAATATCACTTTTAATTACAATATTATCAATTCCCCAAACATATATATGTTAGGTATGTTATTATATGTAATATAAGCTTCAATTTAAGGTAAAATTCAACCTCAAACCGCTTCACAAGACGTTTTAAAATGTTCTTTTAATATAAAACTAATTATTATAAAACTGCCTTTATCGAAAAACTTTGAGTTTGAAATAAAAAGATTTAAAATTCTCGTATTCAAACAACATTGCTTTCTTTTATATTTAAAAAATTAATGTAATAAAAAGGATAATCAACAAAGAAACACTGTCTTTTTCATTTAAAATATACACAACGATCAGCGGCTTTCAAAGCAATTATAATGCGAACAATAATATCAATAATCAATAGACAATATATTTAAAACAAACCTACCTTCCGCGTTAACGTCGGCACCTTTACTTCCTTCTTTTATCAGTTATTTCGCCTTTATTTTCTTAAAAAGCTTTTGAAATTCACAAAATCTTGCAAAAATGAAATATATTTGCAAGAAATTATCAAATCAAGAAATGTTTGCTATTTCGCTGTCGTCATGCATGCAGTCGTTATAATGCAAATTTTAAATTTGACCAATCAGTGTTCGCTGTTTGTGATAGTCCCTGAATATTTTTGAGATCAGTGAGGATGACCACCCACCCAACACTCCAGGGTACAATTCCAGAAGGTACAATTTCAGCGATGGTACAATTTCAGACTTACCGTAGATGAAAGAATAATCGATGCATTATGTGAAACTATTGGCTCAATGTTTTAACTATAGTATATATGCCTTCTATCTTTTACAATCTTTATAGTAATTAGATCCTCTTTTCACAATTAACTATTACACATCGCAAAATTATATTCTGTACTTTCTCCCATATATAGCCTTTGTACCAGACAAACCTACAAATATCATCGTCACTAATCTCGCGTCTAGAAAAGCTGCAATATCTTGGCTAGATCCTAAAAATCAAGGACGATATCGTCTTTCACGCTTTTGGATTAAACTGAATAAAGAAAACTTACTAATCCTGAACATTACTACAGGAAAAGTGAATGAATATAAAATTGATTATCTTATCCCGCATACTACATATGAAATTTCTGTATCTGCTGGAAATTACCTTGGTTTTGGTGAAGAGATTATTACTTCGTTCTTAACGTCGGAAGAAGGTGAGTATTAAAACGTTTTTTAAGGCGTGCTCGATTCAAGACTTCAATCCAATTTATTGCAAAATTTGGATATCGTTTTATAGTCATTTTTCGGTTTGTTCACGAACCATCGTTACCGACAGCGGAAAAATCTCGATGTGTCAATATCTCTAAAACAATGTTTAATTGTTATATATTCTTCGATAAACCTATAATATTTACCATGTTCGTTACTTTGGTTGAATTAAGTAAGATATTTTTGTCACCACATGACTAGTTCTTTATGCACTCAAAAGCCCCACTTGACTTATAGCTACATGATATTTAAATAAATCCTCTGTGTTTTAAGCTCCAAGCGGTCCACCATTAAAAATCAAAACCACTTCAAGAAGTGCGTCGTCGTTGTTTTTCATCTGGGACCCTCCTGGAAAAACGAAACAAAATGGTATCATTATCAGTTATACAGCGTGTGTTTCGCACTCAGAAAATGGGCCGTGCTTTCAAACATTTATTACAAGTAAAAGGGAGTGGCTTGTTGGAAATTTTAATGAATTAACAAAATATTATGTTCGTGTTCTTGCAAGTACTAAAGCTGGTCATGGAAACTTCAGTGAAAATAAAAGATTTTTCACGAATGGAAGTAAGTACATGTATTTAAATAAATTTCTGTTAAGAATTCCATACTTGCATTTTAGCATTTTCTATTTCAGTGTCTTTGCTTTTACAGTTTAGTTTAGTCCATTTGGTCGTGACGTTTGTGATCATGTCAATTATAGTAGATTTGTAATTGAAGGATGATATACGGTTTAATAATTTATGAATATAGTTGGAATATATAATGTCAAAATGGACAAGTTGCATGTCAGACTAAATTTTAATCTAGGTAAAGAGAAGGGAATCAAACACCACAGTTAAAAAACGTAATGAAATTAGTAAAATTGTAAAATTTCGGATAAAGATTTCGATAAACTTTATTGCTTAGATGCATTCGTATTTGCTGTTCCTGCATGTATTACATGTTACGTGTATTCAGCACCAAGGAAGACAAAAACGAACCAGCTGAACCTGAGAAAACCAGAATTGAAGTTACTTGTTGCTTCAACCAATTTGTTTTTGCAGTGTAGCAACATTCTGACATCGCGATAACATCACTACAATATCATTACAATTTGAAAAACCCACACAGAGCCCTAGGTATTACAATAAATTTTACATTTTGATACATCCACGCCTTCCTATACAGGAGCAGTAGAGAAGCCCATAGCTGCAACATTAAATACACTTACATTTTCATTGGAAAATCAATCTGCAACATTTTTGTAAGTATATTTGACTTTTTGATTGTCTTGTAGATAAATACGTGATATGATACATGCATTACTTAGGTTATGAAGAGGGTAAATTTTGACTTCTAGATATTTTTACGTGGTGGCTTTGGAATTGAAATACAATATGGAGCCTTCATCATCTGACAATTATGAGAACAAGGAGCTAGTGACGTATGCTGAGGCAAAACATTCAACCGATCCGAAACCTTATATCGCTGCAGTAGTTACATCCAGCGGTGTTGATGGAAACATGTTTATACTTGGAGATGGCAGCAATACAAATGATCCAACTTCACGAAAACTTGGATCAACTACGAGTGACTATTTTAATGGTCCGTTGGAACCGGGTACTGGTTATAGAATGTTTCAAAGGATAGTTATCAATGAAAAGGTATGTTATTAGGGGCAATAACCTTCAGTTCAACGCACTGGTCTGAAAGTGCAACTGGATCGTGCATCTTTCATGCTTCCTATATGAAAAAAAAAAAAAAAAATGGCAGCCATATTTATTGGTGTAACCACATGCACACATCGTAGAGTAATCATTGTCAACAATCGATTAATATCGATTAATCGTATTGATAATTAATTTAAATATGAAAAGCCCATGGTGGCATGGTGGCTTGACAAGTTTCTAAATTGTAATTAAACTGTGCTGAATGTCTGGAGATTTCACCAGTCAGTATAAACGTTTTATATTTGCGTTTAAAATGAACTTAATTAAATAATCACAATTATAGATTGTGCACGTTCTCGTCTGTGCATGTTTACTTTATTTGTTTACCTTTGAGGCTTTGACACCCAGACTCAGTTATGGACAATTGGTTTATGTCTGCACTCCGCAATGTTGGATTCAAATGGTAATTTCCTTTTTCTAATAAAAAAATTCCTCAAAAATGTTTCGCAGCACTGGTTACGAGTGAAATTGATATTTGACCCATAATATTTTGAATCAATTTGTCATTTAATGTTTCAATCACAATCTTGTCGCAATTTTTTTAATGCGAAAAGAAACGAACTCATTCCCAGATCACGCTGTGTGGTGTTGTAGATGATCCGAAAAATAATCCATTGATCGATTAATCGGGAGCAACTGTACATTATGGTGTTGTTGACGTGTTAGAAGAGGACAAAAAGGAATAAAACATACCCTAGTTTAGTTATATATATTAGGACGTTATCTCTCTACAGTATATCATATTTCACAAGTAAATAAATTATCGCCTTCCAAACTATAGGGTGATTATTACTCCACCGACTGGAGTCCTGCGTCAAAAACAAGTGAATTCCCAGGTAAATATCTTCCATGTAATTTCATGTGTATAACTAGGTTAAATTAATAAATAGTATGCCAGCTGGTATTATAACGAGGTACTGTATAGTCATGCGGTAAATTTAGTCATGATAAAATCAATAATTAATAATCCCAGATTGGAGTATAGATTTCTGGTGAAAGTGTTTTGTTACAGTCTTCAAATAGATAAAATTTGAATTTAAATCTCAGAAATATGCCATTTTCTGCACTTCTAGCCGATTAACAATGGTTGAGCTATCTAGGAAATACGCATATCAGATTAAATTCAATCTTATAGAATTTCTTCAATTGTCCAAGTAGATTGAAAAGATCCTAAAACTATGGAAAATTTCTGTAATTACGGAAAGTCAGAAACATCCTTTAAATCGACATTCCTCGATTCTATGGAATTGCAATCAAAGTGCATCGGAGAAACGGAATAGTAAATATAAAAATTAATTAATGCAAAGAATATAATAACAAATGAACAAATTTGCGGCTGTTACAGAAAACATAGTTAAGTCCGATATCTGAAGTAAGGAATCCCCGCCCCCAGTTATCTCCTAGCGAACGTGCGAAGCGTAAGCCTGGGGCGAAGGCACTAATTCCGCTCAGTTATTTATACCTGGGGAAAAGAAAACATTAGCGAAGTTGAAGTGGTTGAGAATGTTGCTGGAGTTAAGAAAAGCGTGCAAAATCACTCGCCTTCGGCTCGTGCTTTCGCGCGCTTTCCTTAACTCTCGCAACAGTCCCGCGTGTTTGGATCAGGCCATCCAAACACGGAAACCATAAAGTAATTGTATAATACTTCATGTTAAATCAGTGATGGAAATATAGGCCGGAATAGGCGATGGGTTGCTGCATGCTTGTATTTCTATAGCATCGTTAATAAA